TTCTATTACACACCTCAGTTCTTTATATAGCGTTTCCAACAGTCCCCCCCCAGCCGGTACCAATCAGGGCTCACACACGTGCAGCGGCCAGGCAGAGTGTAGCCCATAGGCACGTAGCAAGATCATCAGGCTGGCAGCACCTGTTTTGGGGCTCACCATACTTCAGAGTTGGGGTAAACAAGCGGGATTCACGAGCCTTGGCAATCAGCCAAGAGTTGAAGTAAACAGCACGAGGTTTGGCAGCCAGCCAGGGCTCCATCTTTGGCTGGCTCGGCTGTGCTCTCTTCCCACAGAGACAGGCATCCCACATTAAGGTCTTAAGGAGTCAGTAGGTCCTCAGACCATAAGGTAGATGGAACCTGGCAAGTTTGAGGTCTTAGGAACCAACTACAGTGCTAGTAGTTTACAGGTTGCAAAGCCAGACCCAATAACAAGAGTTAGGGCACACCAATAGCAACTGGGAAGCAAGCAAAGGCATGGTCATTAGAGTGAAATAGAACAGCATACACACACACGTTCTGGGGAGACGATCAGCCTGTTCCTACATCACAGGCAAGCAGAAATTTTTTCAGTGCTGAGCAGGCCTGGCACATGCTGGGTTAATATTTTCTGAAGTGTTTATTGAATTCTTAATGGAAGGCAAAGATGGAGTAACAAATATCATCTCTCTTGGATGGGATACTTCATCAGAATCTCCCAGTTTCAGTGACTAATTTCTGCTCTAAGAATTCTATATCATTGTCTCAGTTCCATGATATCAAAATAGACTACTGATTTAAAAATGGAGAATTTCTCGCATATTTTATTCCTCAAATGAAAGAGAGGTGTTCTGCAGATTTGACTGCGGGACACTGATTTCCCTGAGTCCTGTATTGTGTTGACATCTGGTTAGCACTTTGTGCATGTGGATTAGGTGAGCAGCATCAGTCTGAGAGAATGAGCAGATGTAGTCTGAGAGCTTCTGGAACAGAGAAAACCAGTTCATCACAACAGCTGCCTTACTGACCTGTAATTTTTTTTAACATTTAATTTTTTTCAAAAAATTGGTCCTTTGATATCAAGAATCATATATTCTTGAGGCTCAGGACACATTCTCACAGTTGGCTCACACTTGCCCGAATATTGACTCTGACAAAGATTCAGGGTTTTCCTTCCTTAATCAATGGATCTAACATGGAGATTATTACAGAGTTCCACAAGTGGACATACATAGAGATTGTGAATTGCCCAAGCCTAAGTGGCACATCTACAACGCAACTTCTACACCCAAGGCTCATGGAACATAGAAAAAGGGGTAAAGAGAACACTAATGCATTTCTCAGTTCTCATCAATGAAACTCCCTCATGAAACAGAGGGTCAGGAACACAAAAGGTCACAAATGGCCAAAGTATAGAGAATAAGAGTCTGCAGAGTGTGGGTCCCTGGGCAGGACTCGTGTATTAAGTTCGTCCCATCCAGGGCTCAGGCACCATTGTGGAAGAGGATGCAGAAATAAGAGCCAGGGAGGAGTTGCATGACCATACAGAAAGAGTCCTACAGGCTTCTGGGACCTTGCTCTTATGAACCTACGCAATGGTGTCAGCATGCACAAGACCCATGCAAACTCAAGCAGACAAAACCCCAGCACAACTGTGGAAATGGACAGCAGGCCCCAATCTTAGTAGAAGAACTATTGGCAGCTGATTACTGCTTGGTGATGAAGAGCTATCTTCTTAAAGGAAAGGACTCTAGATAGGCTGACGACCCCAGTGGATGAACTTGCACTGAGGGATGTCTGGGAACACTATCTTGACATGATAGGTCTTAACACAAATGACAATATGGATTTCAGTGGGGGGAGGGCTATGGGCAGGTGCCAATGGGGACATATAAATATGATTAAGATGTTCTGTATGAAATACACAAAAATTCAATGAAAAATCTTTTAAAAAATCATTGGATCTGCCAGTACCAGGTCTGTTTTTCATGCAGGGCAACCATTAGCTGCTGCTCAAGAGTACTGTCCCTGGTCATGCCAATCTCCTGACAAAGCTTCATGTCAGTTGACAGGGAAGGGTCAGAGGCAGCCAGAGAGAAAGGACTAGAGCAACGGCTTCCAATCTGGTTGCACATTAAACATTGGACTGGAACTCTTAACTCTTCTAATCATGTAGGCAGAACACTTATTATGCCTACTTTACCCGTTTACATGATCTGCCTGGTGAGTGTCAGCATCTGAGTTTGAGAATCCTGCTTAGTTGGTTATCCTCTTATTAATAGTTGTAATTATTAGGTTTTTATTTTACACAAAACACATTTTTTCATAATTGGCTCTTTAATTCCTCTAAATTCCTATAAGGTAAGAATGAGCTCTGACCTCAAGAAAAACATGAGCTTTCTTTTAAGTGTGAAAACTGATGCTTATAGAGGCTAAGAAACAGGTCAAAAATTGCAAAACTTCTAAGTGGTAACGCAGATTCCTACCTGGGACCCAAAGCCTTTCCCACTGCTTTCCCATCTGATAATCTTGTATAGATTTACTGCATCATGCAGTATTTTTTTCCTTTTGCTTAACCATGGGGACTGGATACTGGGAAGTGGGGCTGATTGCCAGGCAAAGCTTAGCTTGGGAGGACAGGTCATTGCGACTCTTGAATCATTGTTCCAGACATCAGTGGTTTATTATTATTATTATTATTATTATTATTATTATTATTATTATTATTATGTGTGTGTGTGTGTGTGTGTGTGTGTAACTGGGTTGTCCCACTGCAGCACATGGACCAGCTCCTATAAAGGGGCTTGAGCTCTCATCCCATAGCTGCTAGACAACTGAGATGGGGAGGCTGCTGCTGTGGGTTGGTGAGTATAGTAGATCCCAGCAATGTTACTCAGTCCAGGAGATGTCAGGATGTCAGACTTCATGAGTTTGTTATTATCTCTGGTGCCCAGTAGGGAAGCCTGGGCTTAGGGGGCCTGGATTACACACAGTTAGGTAGACATAATGAAGGCTCAGAGGCATTCAGGGAGGAAGGGTCAGAGCAGTAGTTTTCCAACTTGGTTGCCACATTAGACATTTTCATGCCTGGGCTCCATCTTGTCCAACTAAGGCAGAATTTATGAGGAAAGGGCTGTGATATCAGTACCTCTGAATTTGTAGCCATATTTGAGAACCACTGGCTGAGAGCAAAACTCCATCACTGTCTCTGTGCAAAGCATGTATAGATACATATTGTATCTATTGAAAAGGAGCTTGGATTAACCCCACTGGGTCAGCTTTGCAGGAGAGGAAGCCAATGAATGTGTATGTCTCCATTTGTGCATCTGCATCTGGATGTGGTGCTGAACTAGTGGGGGCACTTGCTAACCGGAGGATGTGCAGGGACAAGCCATACTGTATGTGCATATAAATTTATGTGTGATTCCTTCCTTTGTTTCCTGTAAGGATGATCCTTCTGCTGAAACCCCAGGATGGTAAGGAAACCATCTTCTCCCCTTCAGAGCCAGGGAGATTCTCTAGCTAGGTATTCTTCCTCACTTGGACCTCTGCCTTCTCATGGCTCCTTGGTCAGGGATTATTGATCCAATGGAAGTCAGCAGAGGATGCTGGCCTCTTGCTGTTTGTGTAGCTCACTAGGTGCTAGGATTTAGACTCAGAAGACAGCCTTTCTTCTCCCCTCAGGCCTCAGCAGCAAGAGTGAGAGGTTTTGGGCACATGTATGGGAGGCTTTGGGGTATGTGTGGGGTGGTGTGGAGGCTGTTACAGTGGTCTGGTATCTTGGGCTGTGCTCACCCTATTCTCGAGAAGTTGAGCTTCCTCCTTGGTCCCTTGTCCCTGATCTCTACCAATCTGTGTTGTCCTTGTCAGGTGCCACCTACCAGCTGGTGTGTTATTTCACCACCTGGGCACAGAATCGACCAGGCCCGCCTCCATCTTGCCCCAAGACCTGGATCCCTTTCTCTGCACCCACCTGATACTTGCCTTTGCTTCAATGAGCAACAATCAGATTGTTGCCAAGGATCTCCAGGATGAGAAAATTCTCTACCCAGAGTTCAACAAACTCAAGGAGAGGTATGTTCAAATTGCATGTGGGGTTGTAGTTTTAGATTTTCTAGCTGTAAGAGAATTAAGTCTATTTCCCCCATTACTCTTTTTCTAAAGATTTACTTTCTTTTAATTTTGTGCATGTGTATGTGTGGGTATGTGTAAGTGAGTGCAGGTGCCCAAGGAGGCCAGAAGAGATGGGATTCCCTGGAGCTGGAGTTAATAAGCCATTTGATGTGGGTACTAGGAACTGAACTCAGGTCTTCCAGAAGAGCAGTGTATACCCTTAATAGATGAATCATCTTTCCAGTCCTGTCTTGTTACCTTTACATTTTCCTCTGCTTATTCCAGTCCTAGTCTTTTCTCAAACAGGAGTCCAACTTAAGAATTCCCCTTGACTATCCCTTTGAGCCCCTTCCTGTCTCGATGCCTTGGTAGTTGTTGTTAACTCACTTGGATGTCCTCACTCTCCTCTCCCCTCTTGGTAAATCTTGGCCCACCCTTTGATCCCAGTTGTGAGTAGTTCAGATGTTAATACTATTAAACTACTTCAAAGATGGCCTGATCATTACAGATAATCAAAACTGTTAGTGTTTTTATTACCATTTGCCACTTGCAATCTTCAAGCAGCAAGTTTCTCAAGGGGAGGTCTCTCAACACCTAGTGGCTTTTGACTACATAGAGCTGGTACTCAGAAAGCTTTTTAACTATTCCCTGTCCAGATCTCCTGAGTTCTTTCCCTGCTCAAGGGAAGATTTGTTAGTATAGAGATGTATAAGATTTGTTAGGATAGAGATGGGCAAGCCAAGCCTCCTCAGAATGGGCAGCTTATCCATGTGGTTCTCTGTTGCATTTCAAGCAGTCAATGGCAAATAGTCTTTTTTTTTTCAATAAATGTTTATTGGATAAGAAAATGAGCGAGTAGAAGCAGGCTAGACTCTTCTTTCTGGAAGCAGTGGGTAAACTACTCTTTCCTATTTTCCTTTCTTTACTCCTGTGCTCTCTTCTCTCCATTCTCCCTCCTGCTTTTCCCATTTTTTCCTACCACCCCCATTACCCATTTTCCTTCCAATGAATGAAATAAAAATATCATGGACTATAGTTGCCTGTACAGAAAGGACCCACTTACCTGCTCTCTACTCCATATTCTAAGGAACGGGAATCTGAAAACACTGTTGTCCGTCGGAGGCTGGAATTTTGGCACATCAAGGCGAGTTTTCCTGTTCCTGTCTTTTCATGTTCCACTGAGGTGGAGAATGTAGGTTAGAAGTGAAAAAGTGAAAACTGGTGTGTGTGTGTGTGTGTGTGTGTGTGCTGGCTTGGCCATGAAGGACAGCAAAGCCCATGTTGGTACTTTCCCAAGTCCTGGATTCAAGGGATTCCTTTCATAGAGTGTCACAGGAGACGAGGAGGTTCCTACAGGTGGTGAAGAAAGAGACAGGGGAAAACGAGAGATAAGATGGGGCACTTGGGGAAAGGAGTATAACTCAGTGGTAGAGCACTTGCCAAGCAGGTCAAGACCCTGGGTCTGACCCTTGGCACCACCTTAAAAAAAAACAAAGCAAAAACAAAACAATTTTGAAATACATGTCTATAAAAAGAGACCAAGGAAAATAGGCACTGAAAATGAAAAACACTGGAATGAGAAGGATAAGAAATGAATAACAGAGGCAAAATGGGGCACCCACAAATGAAGCTGTAACCCTTTGTCAGAGGTAGGGGTTTTGTCACTGGAGAGAGGAGTTTTATATGAGGCAAGGAGAATAACCCCTGAACCTCACAGGTCCCGAGTTTCTTCATTTTATTGATGGAGCCAGTGTTGGAGGAAAGGAAGCAACAAATAAAGTGTTGATGCTATGCAGGAACGCAGAACACACATCCCTCACACTGTGGTTGCTGTCGTTACTGCCTCCGATCCATGATGCAATGTGGAAAATACTGACTGCCTTAGCATTCTCAGATGGAATGTTTCCTCTACTTCCTAGTTGAGGTCTAGGGCAGAGACCTGCCTTTCTGCTTTGGAGTGAGACCTGGTGATCTGGTGGGTATAGGGTGCCCTTTGTATGGGACCTCCAGGTATGATGGAAGGAGGACTCCAGGTGTGAAATGCTAACCAGCTGTCCAACCCTAGACCTTACCTCTGCTCCTCTGAACACTTGCTCTGGGCCAAAAGCCAGATGAAGGAGAATGTGTGTGTGTGTGTGTGTGTGTGTGTGTGTGTGTGTGTGTTTGTGACTACCCTGGAGTTGCTTTATTCTGGGGCTGGAGGGATGGCTCAGCAGTTAAGAACACTGACAGTTCTTGCAGAAGACCCAGGTTCGAATCCCAACACCCACATGGCAGCTAACAACTGTCTGTAATTGCAGTTCCAGGGGATCCGACAGCCTCTTCTGTCTTCTGCGGGCATTGCACAACATGGGTGCACTTACCTACATGCAAGCAATACACACATACACATAAAAATAATAAATAAAATATTTTTAAAAGTCGCTGTATTCCAAGTTATTAGGAAAGAAAGCAAGAATCACAAGCATTAAAGAACTTACTAGTTTTTTTCTAGGTGGTCTCACCCCCTACCCCTCAACCCCAAGAGTGCCCAACTGGGAGGTGGCCAATAGACAATGGAGATCAGATCTATTTATCTCTGAATATAGTTATTTTCCAGTCACTGTCCATAGATTAACCTAGACTTGCTTAAAGCTCAGCCCTGGTAAGTTAAAATTATTCCCAAGTGTCTTTGCTATGGAAAGAAAACAAACAAACAAACAAACAAACAAAAAACACAAAACCAAAGAAGCAAATGAACAGAAGAGCCAAGGGAGAGGAACTGCTTATCAGAGCACTGACCTCTTGTGATAACTTAAACAGCCACATGGGGAGCCTTTTAGGGCCTCAGAGGAGGCTGTGGTTCTGAAGACTGTTTTTGCCTCACTCTGGTCTCTTTTCAGATTTACCACCATGCTATCCACAACTGCCAACCGTGAAAAGTTTATTGATTCAGTCATATTCTTCCTGAGGACACATGGCTTTGACGGTCTTGATCTTTTCTTCTTGTACCCCGGACTACGAGGCAGCCCCATGTATGACCGGTGGACTTTTCTCTACTTAATTGAAGTAAGGCCAATATGCAAATCATTTTACTTTTCATCATGACTGGGCTCATGGAAGAGGGTTAATACAAGGCTGGGGCAGGGGTAAGGGTGGTAGAGAAGAAACAGAATATTCTTTTACTGACTCCTGTAGACGTGTTGGGCCACAACACTGCTGAGCAAGTTGCCCTGTGGTTGCTTCTGTCTGCACCTGGATCTTGCCTCAGCTCTGTAGCCTAAGTGATGCTTTCTCTCTCAGACTTCCTGGCCTTGCTCAGGCAGTGTCAGTCTGCACCCTGTGTCCCCAGCCTGTTTGCCTCCCATCTGTAAAGTCACTTGCCACGTTGGTGTGTGTCTGCCTGTTTCATAGCCTGTGGGCAGTGTCTGTATCCTCTCTGTTCCCATGTCTGGTTCAAAGGGCTCAGTAAACAATTCCTACATGATGCTTTTCCCCCTGTTTTTGGTTTTCTGTGTCTTTCTTTCTAGGAGCTCCAGCTTGCCTTCCAGAGGGAGGCAGTCCTCATTAGGCGCCCGAAGCTCCTGCTCTCCGCTGCTGTCTCTGGCATCCCGCATATCATCCAAACATCTTATAATGTGCACCTTCTAGGGAGGTGAGTGGATGTCATTCTAGAGTGGCCCAAGTACTTTCTCTTATCGTCTGTGTGCCATCCTGGTGCCAGTGAGGTTCTGGGGTTGAGGGGCATGGGTAGAGGCAGGGCTTTCTTTAGAATATCAGAACTAGGTGTTGTACTACCTCACCACAACACCATTATCATATATAGAATCTTCTGCATGGCCCATTATTGGATCTCACAAGTAGAGATTGCCACAGGCCTAGCCTCTTTCTGCTCTGAGCATAGGTATGGACATTCTCAATGCAACAGATATGCAACAGAGGGCAGGGAAATTAACAAGCAGTGCCTCAGAAACAACACAGGAATGCCCAGTCATGCCCAAATTTCAGAGCAAGTTATCTTTGGAAAATCTAAAAAGGAAGACAGAAATAGTGCACAAATCTTTCTGGATGTGCTGGTTCTAGAATGATTTTCTTGAACTGCAGTAATCAAGTATTTAAAGATGAAGAGACCAAGGCAGATGCAGAGAAAGAGAGGATGTGGTGATTCTGTGTGATCACATCAGAGAGAGGTATGTCGGTGTGGGAGGAAAGGTGGAGAGACCCAGCAGGGAAGAGAGCTTGGCAGTGTTAATATTGTTGCCAGGCAAGATTGAGAGCGTCCTGCCTTTATGAAACTAGGTGTTTTTAATTCTTCAGCTCTGAAATGGAGAAAGTTGGTTGGGTATGGTAGTACATGTCTGTCTATAATCCCAGCTCTTGGGAGGTAGAGGAAAGAGGAACATGAGCTTGAGACCAGCCTGGGTTACCTAATAAGTTCTAGGCAAGCCTGGACTACACAATGAGACTTTGTCATAAAAAATCAAACAGAAAAAGAGAGGGAGAGGAAGAAGGAAAGGGAGAAGGAGAGAGAGTGGGAGAGGAAAAAAGAGAGGGAGGGAAGGAAGGAGAGAGAAAGAGAGAGGGAGAGAAAGTGAGAAATAGAGCTGGCAAGTTAGCTTAGTGAGTAAAGGTGCCTGTCACCAAGCCTGACTACCTCAGTTTGATCCCTGAGACTCACATAGTAGGAGAGAAGTGACTCCCGCAGTTTTCCTCTGATGTTCACTCATGTATTGTTACACTTGAGCATGTGACTATACATATACGCAGTAAGTAAATATTGTAAAAAAAATGAGAGAGAGAGAGCAAATGAGAGCACACTGTGTTACTTAATCTATTAACTAGATTAAATTAGGTAACCAGTATAAACCCTTACACTTCTGACATTGTACCAAGCTCAGGAAGGACGGCAGCTCTTTCACTCTTATGGGACAGTACTGCTTTGGCTCATGACAGCTTGTGCAGACCTCCACCAGCAAACATGACACGTCTGCACATATCCTTTTCTTGTCTGATCTCTGTCTACTTCCACACATACTATCAGGATGTATAGAGTTTGATGAACAGCTGTCCCTAGCTAGAATTCTGTTCCATCCCAAAGTGGCTGGACATAGGCAGAGAGAGCAGGGAAGCTTTGATAACCAACTTACAGCTATCTAGTTAGCTAGTGCTGTGATGATCTCAGTTAAATATTTAGTCAGCCTGACATTCGTATCTCCTCCTCTGTTCCTTACAGACTTCTGGATTTCATTAATGTTTTGTCTTATGACTTACATGGAAGTTGGGAAAAGTTCACTGGACACAATAGTCCCCTGTTCTCCTTTCCTGAAGACTCCAAATCATCAGTAAGAAAAAGAAAGCTCTCAGGTGACCTAGGCATCCATCCCTGAGCTCAGGTCATAGGTGAGATTGTATTCTTCCTCCCTCCAGGCATATGCTATGAATTACTTGAGAAAACATGGGGCACCTGCAGAGAAGCTCATCATGGGGTTTCCCACCTATGGACGTACCTTTCACCTCCTCAAAGCCTCTAAAAATGGACTGCAAGCTGAAGTGACGGGACCAGCATCTCCAGGGAAGTACACCAAGCAAGCTGGCTTCTTGGCTTACTATGAGGTGATGGTGTAAGAGACCTCTGTCTAGAGGCTGGTGCTCCACAACTCCTAGCTGGGGCAAGGGGCAGGTCAAGAGCAATATCTTTCCCCTTTGCAATATATAATGTCAAATATATGCAAAAGTAAAGAGCCTCATAACACCATACCACCATATACCCAACTTCATCCCTAGCCCACAGTCAATCTTGCTTCGTCTCCAGACCCTGACTCCTTGCTTCTTCTCAAGGTTATTTTGAAGTAATCCCAAGATGTCCTCTACTATAGGTTTTTTCACCTGTACTCTAGTCTACCCCTAGTCCCTATTTTAACAAATCTTGCTTTGGAATGGCATAGAGGAAATAGACAGTTACTCAAGGGAATGGAAGATAAGAGTAGACCATAGAGCATGGGGTTATAGGGACCTGGAAAAGTCTTATGGAGCAAGTAGACTCTCAGCAGACTTTGAAGCACAGGAGAATCTTGTACAGGATAACAGGATGACAGGTGGATAGTTAAAGCCTTCCCTCAGGCAGGAGTGAGATGCTGAATGCCCTTCTAAGTTCTGCTCTGTGATGGATGGATGGAGATATTTTACTATTAATCTCTTGAAGCATGGTTGTGAGTGGTGTCATAGTTGAAATAATGTTTTTGAAGGACATTGTGAGTTAAAGAAAATCCAACACAGAGAGCCTTTAAAGTACAAAATAAAATAAAACAAAAAAGCTTCGCAAGAAGTGACTCAGACACTAACTTCTGCAGCACAATTTTGAGCACCTGTACTTCTCTGCAATATATAGTTCCTAGTGCAATGCTGGGAACTCAGTGCGGCTGAGCACTTGGTGGGCTGTAACAACCTAGTTCTGCCTGACTTTTAGATCTTTACATCCACTAGAAGTTCACGTTCTAGTTTGATAATTACCTATATGGACACTTTGTTTTGGGTACTAATGAACACAGGAAAGATTTGTTTATGAAAAGCCTGCAGCAGATGAAGGTTGGGTCACTGGTCAGGTTTGCTCCTCATAGTCCTTTGGTCCTGGTATTATTTACCAAACCCTGACTTGGTTTCTGATATAAGCCACTCACTCCTCCCTCTTTTTCTACCATGGACACTAGAGGAAGGACCATGTGACAGAGGGACATGTTCAGTATAGAGAGGAAATCCTTTGTGAACAGTGTTCCTACTCTCTTTGGTCTGCAATTGCCTGCCCCACTAGGAGGGTTTTCCTGGATTCTTTCTCCTAAGACAAGAGATAGTTTCTCCTGGTGCTTCTCTCCAAGGTGTTTCAGGTAACTCACATGTATCTTCCTGGCAGGTTTGCTCCTTTGTTCAGAGAGCAAGAAAGCACTGGATTGAGTATCAGTATGTCCCATATGCCTACAAGGGGAAGAAGTCGGTTGGCTATGATGACGCCACCAGCTTCAGTTACAAGGTGAGACTGGTTCTTTCTTGTTCTAGTATGTAGATTCTTACTAGCTTTACTGGGACTCTAATGTATTTCTCTCTCTCTCTCTCTCTCTCTCTCTCTCTCTCTCTCTCTCTCTCTCCCCCCCCATGGTGGTGCAGGGTTCCGAGGAGTGCCAGCTGCTGGGCGTGGCGCCGGTCTCCCTCGCGCCGCTGGGTGCGATGTGGTGCAGGTCTCCTGTGTGCACCTGGGAGTGCAGCGGGTCCCGCACCGTGTCTGTCGTGCACTTCCTCCAGATGCGAGATCCGTCAGCTGCCAGATCACATGGGAAGGTGCAGCACGGCGAAAGCTAGGGTTCCGTGAGTCATGGCTTAGAAGAAACAGCTTTCTCCGGAGAGACTGGATCGTTCGCAATAAGACACGGGACTCAGCTTAGTACGTGTTACAGCTCTTTATTCAGTGACTCAGCTCGGCTCCAAGTCTTAGTAATCCAGCTCCGATTATTGAGGGAAAACCAGGATACTTTATACTGTGGGGGTAGTGGTGAAAACCTTAGCTGATAGGTACTTTTAGGATGCCTTATTTACATGTGTAATGGGGCTCCTGCCAGGCTACCAGACTGCCTGAAAATCACACAGGAAAAAGCTGGCAGTTCCTGAGCCGGAGGCCATGTTTCTGTGATGGCTGCTTCAAAAGATGAGTCAGGAAGATGCTGGGAAGGCACCCTGCTGAAAAAGGAATCTCTGCATATGAGGCTGAGCCCATGGGCTATCCGGACATGAAGAGACTGCTACTTTACACAACAGGGGTCCCCAACACTCCCCCCCCCAATAAAATTGGCAAGCTAATTTACTAACTTATAAGCAGGATAAGCTCTCAGAATTCTTGGAGTTTCAGGATAACTATTATTTTCCTCCTCTGTTGTATTTTACATTTGGGGAAAGTAAACCCTACAAAGCAAAATGACTTGGCACCTGGATATTTAAATATGGAGTCTCTTCTTCTTGTGGTTTGCTTCCCTTTTCCTCCCTCCCTCTCTCCCTCCCTCCCTCCCTCCCTCCATTTTTTTTTGAGACAGGGTCTCAGTATGGCCCCAATATGGCCTCAGGTTCCTGGTTGGCCTGGAACTCTTCATGTAGACCAGACTGGCCTGGAATTTGTAGAGATCTGCTTGCTTTGCCTCTTTAGTGCTAGAATTAAAGATGTGTTCCATGACTCCCAGTTGTTTATTTTCTATCAGAGATTACCAGCAAAGTAGCAGTATGACCTGGATTTGAGCACAAACTCTGTGATTTAGTTATAGCTACAGTTTAAAAATCATGGAGGAAAGTCTTTATATTCTCATCTGTAAAAAGGGTACAGAATATCTGTTTTATCTGTACTTTTTAGCATCACTGTGACATAAGGTATGTGGAAGTAATTTTAAAATGATAAAGCATCAACAATTCAGGATGATGGTGGTGGTGGTGGTGGTGGTGATGATGATGAAGATGAAGATGATGGTGGTTAGCCGGCTGAAGGATCCAAAAACACAGGAGCTAACAGTTACTGAACATTAGCTATATGGCTGACAAAAGTTAAATAGTATTCCTATACAATATAACAGAAGATTTGCCATCTTAACTGTTTTTTTGTTTGGGGAGGAGGGAGTTAAGACAGGGCTGCAGCCTAGGCTTGCCTCAAATTTGCTATGCAGCCAAGGCTGACTTTGAACTTCTGATTCTTCTGCTGCAACATCCTGAGTGCTGAGATTCCAAGCATGATTCATGCCCTGCATTGAAACTATTTTTAAGCCTGTGATTTGGTGACATTTGTATTTGTTTGACTCTCACTACCATCCATTTTTAGAACTCTTTCATCTTCCCACATTGGAACTCTACCCATTAACCACCAGTTTCCCATCTCCTCCAGCCCCAGCCCCAGCCCCTGGTAATTTCCATTCTACCTTCTGCCTCTGTGGGGTTGACTCCTTTAAATACTTCATATAATAAGTGGAACCATACAGGATTTATCATTTTTCTTTTGCCCATTTTACTTAGCCTCGTATTTAAAAAAATACTCATCCATATTGTAATGTATATGAATTCTTTTGATCCTAAAATTTTGGAAATATTGTTTTTCACAAATGAGGTGACCAAGGCAGATACATAAAATTACATAGTTCCCAAGATCCCATAGCTAATGAGGAGTAGAGGCTAGAGTAAAATGTAGGTTATAGTCATAACTGCCCTCCTGCATTTCCTGCTGAGGCTTTACTCATCTTCTGTTTCTTTGCCACTGTACCCAGATTACAGGGTGGTTAGTACAGCATGTTGACTGTTACTTTTACAGGCAATGTTTGTGAAGAGAGAGAATTTTGGGGGAGCCATGGTATGGACATTGGATATGGATGATGTCAAGGGCACTTTCTGTGGCACTGGTCCTTTCCCCCTTGTCTATATACTGAATGACCTCCTGGTGCAGGCTGGTAAGTAACTAGGACCTGGAAACTAGGGTTGGATTTTCAGAACCAGACACTTGGTGGGTTCATTCTTCTAGGGCTCACAAGAAAACATGACATTGAGGGAAGAAAATTAACTTCCTTTGTCTGATCTGAAAATGAGAATAATCTTTACATTCAGGATGTTATAAGAACTAAATGAGATATGGGATGAAAACTGCACTGATTCATAGTTAACACTCGGTGCATTCTAGTTTATTTCTGTTTCTTCTGATCTCATGGGCAAGGACTAGAAAGGGGAGATATCTATTGTCTATCTATCTGTCTATCTATCTATCTATCTATCTATCTATCTATCTATCTATCTATCTATGTATGTATATAGATAGATAGATAGATAGATAGATAGATAGATAGATAGATAGATAGACTCTCATTCTGACATGCCCTAGGGAGTCTGTATGTTTTAGGAGTAACTCAATGATTTGCAGGAATTATACACCCTCAGCTCTCTGCTGTGTGTATGTTGAGAACGTATTATAAGTCACAGCAGAACTGCAAGTCTCTATCTATCTATCATCTATCTATCATCTATCTATCTATCTATCTATCTATCTTCTATCAATCATCTATATCTATCTATCTATCTATCATCTATCATCTATCTATCATCATCTATTGTCTGTCTAATCTATATATTATTTTTGTGCCAGAGTCTGCACCAGCAATTAGGAAATGAAATTTAGTATGCAAGAGTTGAAATCCCTTAGAGATTGTTTCTGGATAAGGCTGGTTGTAAAACAGGTCAGGCCTTCAGATGAACTCCAATGTATTCTTTTGCAACATGCTGTCTAGAGCTTCCTAACCTCAGCTTTATTCTTGGTATCTCCTACAATGTGGAGACCTTGAAGATTCCTCTTTGAGGAGTCAACAATGAATTAGATCTTGGTTAATAAGTTTAAATGGATGGAGGGAGGGAGGGAGGGAGAGATAGATATGAGGGTTTAAGCATAGGAAACTAATAGGCTCCTCCTTGGATTACTTACCAGAAATACAGAAAATCCAAATGGGTCCACAGCTTGGGACTACACTAACATGATAGGTTAGGGGAACAGCTTCTGTGTGGTGAGTTTTTTTTTTTTAAATCTGTGCCCTCAGGTGGCTAAATTATGAAATCCACCAATGCTAGGTACTTGGAGTGGGCACTTCAGACTTGCAATGGCTTTAGTTTTGCCAGGAATTAATAAGAAAAGAAGGAAGAAACCAAAATCTCATTTTTTTTCTGATGATTTTCTTTAGAGTCCAACTCAATGCCTTTACCACAAATTTGGTTCTCATCCTCTATGAATTCCTCAAGATCTGATTCTGAAATTCTGACTGTGATAGAAGCATTGACTACAGATACTATTAAGATTTTACCCCCAGGAGGAGAGACTATAGTTACTGAGGTCCATGGAAAGTTTGAAAATATGACTACAACTCCGAAGGGTGGACTTGTGACCCCTGGAAAGGAAACAGCATCCCCAGAAATGCATGCTGTAGCTATAGGAAGGACCACTGAAGCCCCTGAGACAAACACTACGACCTCTCTGGACCATCTGTCTGTGACGACTGCTGGGATGACAGTAGCCCTCCTGACACAGACCACTGTGAGAAGGAACATGACTACAGTAGGTCATCAGCTTGTGACCCATGGAGGGATGGATATAACCTTTGTGTATCATCAGACCAAGACCCTTAGTGAGGAGGAAACTTCTGGAAGGAAGGCTGTAGTTCCTGAGAAGGTCACTGCCTCTCCTCAAACGATGTCAGTCGCCCTTGATTGGCAGAATATAACTCTAAAATGGGAGAATTTAACTTCTGAGGTGGAAAACTGACCTCCAGGATGAGTAAAATTGGTCCTTAGATAGAATTGAGAGTAGGATGCTGTCCCCCAGTTCTGTCATCCTATTCCCAGGATACATTCCTTTTGCTTTTAGGACTAATTCACTCTTACTGATAAGTGTCATTCTTTTGTCAATGGCCCTTCTAACAAATCTCTCTCTTAAAATAGTTCCCAGAAAACTCTGCTGTGGCTCAGTGAGCATGAGCTCTTTTGGTGACAGACCCTGGGGAAAGCCCTTGCCTTTTCTATGTGATGAGACATACAGAGGCTACCCAATGTTTCCATCTGTCAACCATTTGTGGGCAAAACTGGCACCGAAACCACCATAGGTAATCTCTTTTTGGTTGAATAAACTGAAGCATAAGAATATACCTGAGGTCTCCTGAGATTCTTTTCTTTTCCTGAAAAAAAGAGATTCATTTTATTTTTATTTATGTGTACCTGTGTGTGCCTGTGTGAATTTATGCCATGTGTATGCAGGTGACCGAGGAGGCCAGAAGAGGATGTTGGATCCCTTGGAACTAGAGTTACAGGCAGTTGTGAGCTGCCTGACATGGGTGCTGGGACCTGAATTTGGGTCCTCTGGAAGAGCAATGAGTACTCTTAACTGCTGAGCCAATTTCCAGTCCCCACTGATATTCTTATAATGACTTGAGTAATTAATCCAGTTGTCACCTTCTTCCTATCAAGGTGATTTCCCTCCATTGCTATTTTCAGAAAGGCCTGCATGTCTGTTCTATAGTGATGTTTCCTGGTGTGGATTATGGGTTTCCTTCTCTAATGTTAGCACCTGTTTACTTCACTGTGGGTCAAGCCAGGACCTCTCCTATAGAAGTTTCCCAATCATCAGGGGAGCAGTGAAGGGAAGGGAGAAGTTGAGTCTTACAATGACATTCTCTGCTTGGAAAATCTTAGTTGTTCCTGTAAAAATACCCTTACCTATTCTTTCCTCAAGAAGCGGTTGAGAAAACAAAACTATACTTAAAATTATTTTAATAGGGAGCTGGAGAAATGGCTCACCAGTTAAGGGGACTTGCTGCTCTTGCAGAGGACCTCAGTTTGGTTCTCAAGTACCCACATGGCAGCTCACAATTATCTGTAGCTTGAGTCCTGGGGGATCTGATGCTCTCTTCTGGCTTCCATGGGCATCAGGCACACATGGTGCCCATATATGCATACATGGGCATGCTCATACACATAAAAATTAAAAAACCCATTTTAGTAGTATTATTGGATGTCTTAGTGTCCTGAAACACCAATTCTCATGCACTAGATGCCATAGTTTTTTCAGTATAACTCACTCTCATCTAGTACTACAGGTTGAAGACCAGGTTCCAGCCTTCCATGTCTAGAAGCCAACACAACGCAGTGTGGTTGTAAAATCTATCAATAATGCTGTTTGCTAGTCTATTTTTTTTGTCACTATTAACACAACACTATGAACTGGGTAAAGTATCAAGAAAGAGAATCATTTTGACTCACAGTCCTTGTTTAAGGTTGAGAAGCCATATCTGGTCTTCTTGCTGGGAGCATCCTAAGGGGTGGCACAGGGCATCACTCAGTGAGATAGGAGACATGTACATGTATGTGTCCTCTGGTTTCTCTTATAAAGCCACCAGCATTCTAGTCCTGGGGTCTCCTATCAAGTCTTAATTATATCTCAAAGGACCTACTTTTTTTCAGACTAATAAGCATTCTTTTTAAAGTTCATATTTATATTTTGATTTATGTGTATGAGTGTTTTGCCTTCATGTATGTAAGTGCACTTGTGTATGCAATGCCTGTGACTCCAGAAGAGGTCATCATATCCCCTGGAACTAGAGTTACAGATAGTTGTTAGCTGCCATGTGGGTGCTGGGAACCAAACCTGGATCCTCTGAAACAGCAGTCAGTGCTCTGAACTGCTGAGCCATATCTCCAGACCCAAGAATTCTTTTTTTATTATTGTTTGAAAATTCCATATATATAGTGCATTTTGAGCAAATTCACCTCCCTTTCTCTCCCCTCCAATTTCTTCCTTATCCTTTCACACCACCTCCCAACATGATGTGTTTTTTTTAAATTTTATTTTTATTTTTATTTTTTTCTTTAAACTCAGAGTTCACTTAGCGTACGTGGGTGTAGGACCACCCACTGGAGCATGGGTAGCCTCTCAGGGCCACATCTGAAGAAAACTGACTGTTCCTCCCTCACTGTCCATCCATTACCAATAGCTCTCCAGCTAGTGCTGGAACTTCATGAGCCCCTCTGCACTCTGTGCTGGGATTTTGGCTGACCTGATCTTGTGCAGGTCCTGTGCATACAGTCACAGCTGCTGTGAGTTCATGTGTACAACATCACTGTCATGTCTGGCAAACACTGTTTTGCTGCAAGTGTTTTTTACCTCTGGCTCTTACAATCTTTCCACCCCCTCCCATTTCTTCAGTGATCCCTGAAACTTGTGGGTAAGGGAGGGGATACAGATGTCCCAGTTAGAGCTGAGCACTCCATAGTCTCGGATTCTCTGTGTGTTAACTAGTTGTGGGAATCTGAATTAATGGCTGAAAGTCCTACTTGTAAACATTATAGTCAAATTACATTCCCACTCTTTTAGTACCTCACAATGGGAATTACACTACAACGTGACTTTTAGAGGAAACAAATAATACTAAAACTATAGCATTTATCCCTGGTCCCTAGTAACCCATTTTCTCCTTATACACAATGTATGATCATTCCATCATATAGTACCAAATATTAATTCATTCCAGCATTAATCCAAAAGTGCAAAGTCTCATCTGAGAGTACATATTCCATTTTGCAGGTGCAAGCCTGTAAAATCAAAATGAGTTATCTACTTACAATACACAGCAGTGCATCAGGCTCTGGGCATACATTCCTCTTCCAAAAGGGAGCAATAGGGGTTATTTCACCCAGAGTGTTCTGAAACCCAGCAGAGAGACACTGATTCCTTTTTAAAAATTAAAAAAATTTTTTATGTGTATGAGTGTTATGCCTGCATGTGCGTAAGTGCACTCATGTTGTGCAGTGCTAGCTGAGGCTAGAAGATGACATCAGATTCCCTGGAACCGGCATTATGGATGACTGTTAGCCACCATGTGGGTGCTGGGATTCAAACCGGGTCTTCTGCAAGAACAACCAATGTTCATAACTGCTGAGCCATCCCTCCAGTCCTCCAGACACTGATTCTTAAAGCCCCGTGTCTGGCCTCCTGTGCACACTGGGGTTGATATTGAGTTGTCCCTCTCCCCATAGCCCTGCTAGATTAGGGGCAGTGTGGCTGCTCTGTGGCTGGTGCCTATCAAAGACTGGCATTGCCTATTGCTGGTGGTGCTTCCTTTCCCTCCTTCCCACTGGGGCTCTGCTTCCACAATTTTCTTTTAAAATACTATTTTATTGATTTTTCTAGAACTTCATACAAGGTATTTTGATCACATTCAGACTTTCTCTCTCACCTCCACCCCCACCTTATTGCTGCCCCCCCCGCCAACTTCAAGTCCTCTGTCATTTTTCTTTTTATTTTTTTTTCAAACCTATCAGATCTAATATGTGCTCACCAAACACTCTTGGGTGTGGGTCTTTCCCTTGGAGTCTGGTCAACCTACCAAGTGATGAAGGCAAAGAAACAGACTCTCCATCTCCTGGATGCTATCAATTGCCAGTAGATCCTCAGCTAGGACTGAGACTTCTTGCCTACCTCCCCGATCCATGCTGAGTTTTTGTTTGGCTTGGGCTTGCACAGGTCTTGTGCATGCTGCCACAGGTGCTGTGGATTCATATATGCAACTACCCTGTGGTGTCCAGACAACATAATTCTCTTGTATTCATCTACCACCTCTGACTCTTACAATCTTTCTGCAATGATCCCTAAGCTTTGGGAGGTCAGAGTGTGATATAAGTGTCCCATTTAGAGCTGAGCATTATGAATCACTTATTCTCTGCATGTAGACCAGTTGTGGGTCACTGTGTTATTCTCCATCTGCTGCAAGAAGAAGCTTCTCTAAGTGAGAGCTGAGTGATGCACTGATCTATGGTAATCTAAGTCATTATGAGTCAGTGCAATACTATGTCCATTTAGCAGAATAATAGTAGTCATCTCTCCCATATGGCTCATGACCTGTCTAGCCACAGGTTCTTGGCTCTGATAACAGGACCAGGTTTGGACTCCATCTTGTGAAGCAGGCCTTAAATCCGATCAGAAGGTTGGTTACTCTCATAACATTTGTGCCACATGTTTTTAGTCTTTTTGAGACAGGGTCTCTGTGTAGCCCCCCTGACCTGGAATTCAGTATGTAGACCAGGCTTGCCTTGAACTCATAGAGATCCACCTGCCTCTGCCTCCCAAGTGCTTGAATTAAAGGTGTATGTCACCATCCCTGGCACATTTGTGCCACTTTTGCACCAGTGGCCGTATCTTGCCAGGCCAGTTGTTATAGCTCGCAGGGTTCACAGGTAGATAAGGTTGATGATTAACTTTACCAGTAACATGCATATCATCTGCTAGTACTATGAAAGCTAGCCAGTAGAGATGAAGCTTTAAGGTCAGTAACAGCTTGATTCTGCCTTATTTGTTCTATGGTTCATGTATGTAGTATCTTCAGCAATAAGGTCTTTCAAGTTCTTGTGGCTAATCAATTACAATGGAAATATATGGTATTGTTTGAGGGTCTATGGGATCTTCCTGGTAAACAACTCCAAAAAAGGGAGTCCATTCCTGACACTGGACTTCTGTTTGCTAGCCTATGATGTCTAGTAGTGCCATTAAAGACCTATTATAGGGTAACTGCATTTAAACTATATTATATACATATAGATTTTAATAAGTTTCTACAATAATGGGGTTCTATATGATCTTTTCAAAGTGCCTTTAGTGTTTTTTATCCCTTTCCTTAGACCCTCTTCTTCCTTACACTCATGTACATAAAAATAATAAAATATTTTTAAAATTCCATTGTGTAAATGTACCATACTTTAATTATCCATTCATCAGCT